GTCGCCCACGCTGGCGACCACCATCACGCACTGCTCTCCGTCCTGATCGAACCCGCAGTACAGAGGTGGATCCAGTGACTACCCTCCGCCGTCCACCGCTGCCTCGGCCTCGGGGCGGTGGCCAGTCCGAAAAAGGCTTTGGAGATCTCGATCAACTGATTCGCGTCCAAGCGGGGTAGCCCCTGCGAGGCTGGGGCATGAGTAACGGGCAGCTGCTGGTCGGGCTGCCCGTCGCCAGGCATGAAGGCCGCACCCAAGTCTGCCGCGTAAGTCCCCAGGTCGCCCATGGACAGGCGGGCGCCACGGAGGCCTCCGACGCAGAGGCTGGCTTTGGCTTTCGCCGGCCATGGATGCTGGCCCGTCCGCAGCGGCGAACTCTTCTCGGGGCCCCACTGGTGGCGCGCCTCGCATCGTGGACCTCCTCGCTGGAGGTGCACCCCTTGTCAACTGATGGCAGTGACGTCGCTTCTCCTTCCCCCAGAGAGGGGGGGAGAGGGGGGAAAGGGTGGACGTTTTCAGCGCGAGGACGTCTCCAGCGAATCGCTCGATTATCTCACGGGCCCGTTCGCGCTGAGAGGCAGAAATCGCATACGCGACCGCGCCTTGAGCACGCCCCTCACACGTTTGGCGGCCCATCGGAGCTCCACCGAAGGCCCCAGTGGCAGGAATCGCATGTGTGACCGCGGCCATGTGGGCACACCCCTCGCATGATTCGCGGCCCAATGGGGTCTCCACCGAAGGCCCCAGTGGCAGGAATCGCACGCGTGACCTCGCCCACACCCCTCACACGCTGCGCGGCCCCATTAGGGGTCCCCAAAAGACAGGGACAGACCAGGCCAGACGACACAAGAGCATCGGCGCGTGAGAAAATGGCCCGCTCCGACAGAGCGCGAAGGCGGGTGAGTCCGCCTGCTCCGCACGGACCGCCAGCCCACCAGAATCCGGCGCTCCCCAGGGCAGCAAGGACATGATGAGGCTGATGCTGATGCTGCTGCTGCTGATGATGATGATGCTGATGCTGATGAGGCTGATGCTGATGATGATGCTGATGCTGATGCTGGTGGTGGTGGTCGATGATGCTGGTGGTGATGATGATGGTGGTGATGACAATGATGATGATGATGATGATGATGATGATGATGATGATGATGATGATGATGATGATGACGACGATGATGATGGTGATAATGATGATGGCGATGTCGATGACGACGACGATGATGAAGATGATGATGATCATCATCATTATCATGATGATGATGGTGGTGGTGGTGGCGATTGTGATGGCGACGACGACGCCGACGACGAAGCCGACGCCGACGCCGACGACGACGACGTCGCCGACGCCGACGACAACGAGTATGATGCTGATACTGATGATGATGATGATGATGATGATGATGATGATGATGAGGATGACAATGACGATGACGATGACGACGATGATGATGCTGATGCTGATGATGATGATGATGGTGGTGATGATGATGGTGGTGGTAATAGTGATGGTGATGGTGACGGTGATGGTGATGGATATTGGTGATGCTGATGATGACGACGACGACGACGACCACCACCACCAAGATGACCACGCCGACGCCGACGCCGAAGCCGACGCCGACGACGATGATGATGATGATGCTGATGATGATAATGATGATGATGGTGATGATAATGGTGATGATGATGATGATGGTTGATGATTATCATCATCATGGCACCGCGCGCTCATGGGAGCCGTGGCGTTAAGCGATGTGTGCATCACTGGTAGCTCTTTCAAGCCTTGGCTTTAGGAGTGCTCGCGGCGTCAATGGCTGCCCTTGGGAGCCTTGGTACTAAGGGCGTTTCACGTCACCGTTCGCCCTTGGGAGCCTTGGTGTTAAGAGCTCCGTACGTAACAGTTCACTCTTGTGAGCCTTGGCGCTCAGAGCTCTTAATGTCATCGGGAACTCTTGGGAGTCTTGACGTCAGCGGACTCTTACGTCTCCGACTCGTCTCGAAAAGAGGTGTTCTATCATCTGCAACGTTTCGGAGCCTTGGCGTCAAAGCTGTGTCCGTCACTGGGCCGCCTGGGGGCGCGAGCCTGGGCGTCAGAATAATGCATCGCTGGGCCGAAACTTGCCCGGGAGGGCTCATGTCGCCGTTCGGTCCTGAGAACCTTAGTGTGAAAAACGTTCAGCGTCACCATTCACTCTTGGGAGCCTTGGCGTTCAGAGCTCTTTACGTCATCGTTCGTAGTGAGAGACTTGCCGTTCGAAGGTTTCCACGTCAGTGTTCGCTTTCGGAGGCATTGGTATTCAGAGCTTTCCACGTCTCTGTGAGCTCTTTGGAACTTTGGTGTTCAGAGTTGACGTCACCGATCGCTCTTGAGAGTCTCGGTGTTAGGAACTTGTCACGTCACTGTGAGCTCTTCGGAGCCTTGGTGGTCAGAGCTTGTCACGTCACTGTGAGCTACGGAGCTACGGGGAGCCTTGGTGCTCAGAGCTTGTTGCATCATCGTTCTCTCTGTTATGCCTTGGCGTTTATAGATTTTTACGTCACTGCGAGCTCTTGGGAGCCTTGGCGATCAGATATGTTAACGTCACTGGTCGCTCTTGGGAACCTTGGCGTTCAAAGTGTCACGTCGCTGTTCGCTCTTTGGGGGGGCCTTGAGAAGATGCTCTTACAAGCATATTGAAAGCCTTTGGGGGCTCGTTTAGGCCAATTTGGGGCCCTCGTGGACCGTGTTGTGTTGGGGGGCTTGGGCCAGCTTGGGGCGCTCTAGGGACCCTCTTGGGCACGTCATATGGCCCTCTTTGGGCTCTCCTGGAAGCCTCTTGGGTCCCTTGTGAAGCTCTCCTTGGATAGTTGTTGCGCTCTCTCAGGCTGTCTTGAGGCCCGCTTGGGTCATCTTGAAGCCCTCTTGGAAGCCTCATGGGACGTGAAGGGGTGATCTCGTAGGTCCCCAGAGCCGTATTGGGCCGTTCTTGGCCAGAAAAAGGGAGAACCCCAAAACCCTTCAAAAGCAATACGGAAATGTGTGTTCATTGCCTCCTCCAGGCCTCTTGGGGATTCTTAGGGTCCTCTTGGGGCGTCATTGGGGACCTCTTGGGCCGTACCGAGGCCATCTTGGACCCTCTTGGAACGCTCTTGTAACGTCTTCGGGTCCTCGTGGGCCTCTCTGAGGGCGTCTTGGAGGTTTCTTCGGCTGCCTTGGATACCTCCTAGGCTGTCAACATGACCCCGAGAGGGCGTGTTAGACATTTCGTCCCGCCCCCCCCCCGGTCCCGTTTGAGCTAAAACCCTGTGCAAAACTTCTCTTGCTGGCGCTCTTTCCGTCATGCTCGTCTGCTGTCTGGGAGGTGTTTTAATGTGTACCAGGGACGGCCCCCCGCCTACCAGCGCGCATCGTTCTGAGATCGTCCTCCCTCGAATTGCTCTCTGGCGTTTTTTGTTCGGCCACTAGACGGCCAGGATGGCCTCCAAGACGGATTCCAGGACAGCCAAGCTGACACCAAAATGGCCTAAGATGCAAGACGGCATAGGAGACCCACAAGACGGCCCAAGAGAGCCCCGAGACTGCCCTCGAGGGCCCCACGAAAGCCCCACGACTGCCGAACGGGGCCCCAAGCTGGACTCCGAAGGCGCCAGAAGGCCAGAAGCCACCCACAGACGGCCAGAGATGCCCCCCAGAGGCCCCTCAGAGGCCCCCGAGAAGCCTCCAACAAAACTTGCAGGGGGGGCCCAACCGTCCATACTCTACGCAGTCCTGACGTGCACCCCGCGAAGCGAGAGGAATCAACATCAGAACTGCAGCGAAGCGTCTCGGCAATTCGATGAACTGGTGCATGGCGCAAGGGCCAATGCACGATACGTTCAAAGCAGCCCAGTTTCGGTACGTCAAAGAAGTGTGCTACCTACACATGTCATACACTACCATATTATAATTCGCAGTGCACCCCCTTCAAATTCCCCCAGGGTCCTCGCCCCAGCTGGCGACCTTGTTCCAATCACTTTTAACTTGCACCTGGAGTCTCCTATCTGGGCCTCGCGAATGCGCAACAACTTGCAGATAACAGTTGAGTGCACCGAGATTGCCCAAGTGCGACCCAGCAAAGCCCCCAGGTGGCCCGAAAGGCACCCAAGACGGGCCCCACGGCCCAGGAAGCCACGAAAAAGCCCCAAGAGGCCCCAACAAGACCCTGAAGAGGACCCCGAGAAGCAATCATCATTGATGCTGCTTGTTGATAGATTTCGGCGTTCTCGCCTTGTCTGACTTCCGGCACCAGAAGACTGTCAAGCCTCCCAGATGGCTCCAAGACGGCCCAAAAAAAACCCAAGAGGGCCCCAAGACGACCCAAGAGAGCCCCGAGGTGGCCCAAGAAGCACACAACACGGCCCAAGCCCCAAGACTGCCGAGAGAAGGCCGCAAGCCAGCCTCCGAGGCGTAAAACGGCCGAAGAACACCCAAAGACGACCCAAGACGCCCCCGAGAAGCCCCAAGAGGCCCCAAGAGGCCTCCCAGAAGCCCCCCCGAGGCCCCGGAGAAGCCTCAAAAACTTCCAGGATGCCCAAGATGCCCATACTCTGTGCGGTCCGGACGTGCACCCGCGAAGCGAGAGGATTTCACTATCGCATCACTGGTCTGTTATCGCACACTTGTGCCCCGCTTCTGCCTACTACCACAACGTGTCGACGCTGACTGCGTCCGAAACAGGCTACGAACACTAAGAGTAGCAGCGCCAGAACCTGTACAATAACGGGAGTAGCAAAAGCAAACCATGGAACCATGGGAGCATGAAAAGGAACAGGAGCATCGGTAATGAACGCTACAAGGAAGGAAAATGCAAGGACGAGTAGATCAAAAAGGAAAAACGAATAGAAGGATCAGCAGCTGGAGGGGAAAACGCAGGGGAAAACTGGCATGCTGGCGATGACGACGTCGACTGCAAAGCCAAGGGCAACATGCAGAGCTGAAAGGAGAAAGAACTACCCCACTTGTCTGCACCCGGCGGGCACGCCTGACCACGAGCTGCTGTATCTGCCTCTGCACCTTTCGGGCCGATCGCGGTGGCAGCGGCCACAGGCAGCGGTGGTGTCCGCGGCAGCGTCGTCGGCGGAGGTCGGCGGTGATTGTTACTGCTGGTGGCAGTAATTGTGGAGGCGAATTGCGGTTTTGGCCCTGTTGGTTGTCGCGACGCATGAAGAGCATTGCTCTTGATGTGTTCGCGGCTGCCACTACGTTTCCTTAAAGGGTGGGGCGTTGAGCACCAGAGCGGGAAAGTGCTTGTGCGTAGGGGTTCTTGCTCAAGCTTAGAAGAAAGGAGTCTGTGTGTCGCACGTGCTGGTGGCTGCTTAGCTTATGGTTTCCCGCCCCACTGGCGCTGTGTGTCGAACTGTTCGGTGGTTGCTTGGACTCCTGCGGCTTTCCGTCGGGCAGCCATGTGCGTCGCACTCTTCGGAAGCTAATCAGAACCTTATGCTATGGCTTCCCGTCCCTCCTGCCCTGTCTGCTGCACTTCCCGGTGGTAGCTTGGACTTCTAAGGCGTGTCTGCGTATCCTTCCGCACGTAGAACTTTCAGCCTCCACACACCTATGGGGTTCCACTCCCTCCTCCTTTTCTTCCTCCTCTTCCTCGTCTATTCATCCTTTTCTTCCTCCTCATCATGTTCCATTTCCTCCTCTTCTTCTTCCTCCTCCTCCCTCTCTTTCTCCCTCCCTCCCTCCCTCCTTCCAGCCATCCCTCCTCCTCCGTGGCCATTTGGTTCAAGTACCAAACGTCGCTCCCGCGGCTGGAGCTTGGACACAATCGATGGGGACGGCTCAAGGCTCCTGTGTATTCAGCACACTGAACATCCATTTCCATTGCACTTCTGCACGAGCACCATGGCTGTGCAGGATAATGTGAGCTCCTGTCGGAGCAAATCTACAACATTCTCTCATATTTTGGCAGACGGATGGGAAAGGCGTCGAGTTCACGGCGCTCGACCGAAAGCCCAGCCGTGGAGAACTCGCCTTTCTGTGATCAAGGCCAGGTTCGGGACTCGGGATCGTCGGGCAGCGGCGGCAGCGGCGAGCTTGCTACTGGCGGCACCAAGGGCTCTCGTGGCGCCAAGGGCAATAGCAAGAACAGCCCTGGGCCCCCCCGCAGTCCAAGGCAGTTAGTGCACTTTCTTCGATGAGCTACGTCTACTCCTACGTGCCGCGCACAAGGCTGGGTGGCGCATCCGCCCCCTGCTGCGCCCTACGTCGCGGCGCTGCTGCGGTTTCAGCTCGACGCGCGCGGACCGCTCAGGCCTCCTCGAGTCGGTGGACGAAACTCTGGCAGGCCGCCCGCCGCGCTCAGGGCCGTCTCGACCTTCGCGCGCCCAGGTTCCTAGAGGCAGGCTCGCGAGGACGAGGCGGCGGCGGCACAGGCAGCCAGCGAGGCAAAGCTGGCGCGGCAGGCAGCCAGCGCCAAGCAAGCACCGTCGCTTCCGTCGTCGTCGGCAGCATCCGTCGTTTCGGCGATCATCCTGTCTTCGCTCCTCGAAGCAGAAGGAGGGGGCCCCGTCGTCGAGGGCCCCCGTTCGACATCAGCGGCTCGAGCTCTCGGGCGCCAAGAAGACCGAGAAGTCCAGAAGGCAGTCTCTTCCGCTCTCGGGGCCATTTGCCGGCGCATTGCCTCTCTCAAGGCAGAGGCCGCTGCCGCGCGCGCGGGGCCCCGGGCCAAACGGCGGCGCGGTGAAGCCGGCGCCGCAGTCGCAACGCGCCCGAGCCAGGGGCCGCGCGCGCGGCCGATGAGGCGGCGGCCAAGCCAGCGGGCCCGAGCATGACGCCGATCTCGGCAGTGTTCTCGCCGGTGGCAGCGGCGGCGCTGCTGGCCCCGAGGCTCTTCGGATGGCAAGCAGAGCTCGCGCTCAGAAGAAACAAGAAGGAGCTGCAGCCGAGGGCGCCACGCAGGCAGCTGCAGCAGAGACGCTGGAGTAGCCGCCGCATGCCTCTGTTCGGAGGGTCTCCTTGGCCCTGTGCGGTGGCAGCGTTTCTTTCGCCAGCTGGGGATATTGGTTTCGGCGTCGCGCACCTCCGCGCCGAGCCAGCTGCATCGCTGATTGCGCCCTTAGCGGCGCCGGGTCCCTTCGAGTCTGCTGAAGCGGCTGCTACTTGGCCAGTGGCCAGGGACATGCATTTCCCTGGGCGGCCCCCGCTAGCTGCATGTTCAGCGCCCTTAGCGGCGCCTGGAATTGGCCGCAATCGGCCGACGCGCAGCAACGCACCTCGGCAGCACTGGGGCCGCATTCTCCTCAGCAGAGGAGACCGAGCTCGAGGTCGGAGCTGCTGTCAGACAACGGCCTGCATCTTGATATCTCACGCCAGTGGTCTAGGAGGTGCGTTCCCCAGAGCGGCGTTGTGCCGTTGATGCGAGCAGTTCAGGTGCAGGTTTTCATGGGCCAGTGGCCAGGGATGCGCATTCCCCTGGGCGGCCTGCAGCGCAGGCCCTTGGTCGCTCAGATGGCGCCGCTGCTCGCGCCCAGGAGCCAGTGGCCAGGGGCGCGCATTCCCCTGGGCGGCTCGCGCCGAATTTTCCAAGCATTAGTGTCGGCATCCAGTCTGCATGGAGGCGCATTGCGTCTTCCGCGCCAGTGGCCAGGGAAGTGCATTCCCCTGGGCGGCGCACAAGATGTTCAGTTTCAGACTGGCCAATGCTTCGCGGACCTCGGGCGCTTCAGTGCCCAGCTCCCCATCTAGGCCCCCGCCCCGGACTGCTTTGTCAGGTGGCTCTCGCTGGGCCCGCCAGCGTTAGAGCCGTCGACCTTGCGGCGCTGGTGGCGAAGGCGCGAAACAGACCGCGCAGTTCTCCCACTGGCGGATCGGCTGGAACCTCAGGGCCGCTCCATCCTCGCTTTTACGCGCCAGGCAGCGCGGGGCCCATTGGCCGCGACGAGGTCGAGGGCCATCTCCGCGGACCTGCAGACCCTTCACCCTCGCGTTTGGCCGTCAGCCCTACTTTCCACGTGGACTGGCACAAGGGATCGGGGCGACCTCTGATAAATTGCCCGGCTTGCGTTTCGGCCCGACGTTCGCGTTTCGCCCTCGGCCGCGCCCGGGGCTACTTGGCAAGCAAGCTCACCTCGCGGTGGCCGACCTGTCCTGGCTGGACCTGGTTACTGGCCACCTTCAGTCTTCCCGGCGTTCTTCAATCCGGGACCGTCGACTCATTCCAGCGGTCGCCCGCGAGGCCCATTCCAGAGGTCGCCCGCGAGAATCGTCAGGAAGCATGGCGAGGGGCCGCAACCAAAGAGGAAGCATCCTTCAGTTTCAAGCTTGGCCTGCTGGCCTGGACGACCCACGCGCTCGGGAACCAGCCGTCGCAGACTGGGGCGCGGGAACTTCTGGGCGACCGCGCCCCACCCAGATCCCCGCAACCACTGCTGCGACGACGACCCCAGTTTGCCCGTCGCCGCTGCCCACGGACAGCCAGGGCTCGCGGCGGCGCGCGCCTCGAGTTCGAGCGGGCGCGACGTGGTCCCGCGCGAGGAGCTGGGCCACGATGGCGATGCGCTGCTAGACGGGGCCGCGCATGGAGGCTCGTCGGCTCCTGGCGCGACTGGCGCGGATTCCGCGGCCAGTGCTGTCCCAACTGTTTTGGTGACGCCGCTTCCTCCGTCGTCGATGGGCAACGCGCCGGGGGCGGGCGGCCAGCCGAACGCGAATATCAAGGAGCTTTTAGCTCCCGTTGCAGAGGAGTCTCCTGCTACTGAGACTCAACCTCCACAGCGCCTGCCCGTTGATCCCAACGACGCGCCCACTCTGTAGGGGGACATTGTGGACCGGAGCCCTCAGGCACGCAGGCACGTCGTTTTCTCTCGCGCGCTCCTTCGACGCGCTGCGTTTCGCTGAACCGAACATTCAAGCTGCTACGCTCCATTCCAAGATTGGGCAAGATTTGGATAAGGATGTTTGGAAAACGGCAACGGGCGGTGCCCCCGCTGGTCGCGGCGGCCCCTCGGGCGGCGAGCTGGTGCTGGTCAAAAGTTGGCTGCGACTTCCTCTCAAAGCGTTCGACAGCGCGCCCTAGCTGCGCGCGAAGCCGACCCGTGCAAAGGACTTGCGGCGATGGTGCTACATCTCGCCTCGGGCAACTTGGCTGTTATCGCGCTGTGCTTGTGGCCGGGTCAAAACAAGCAGATTACTGCGGCTGTCTCTGCATTTGTTGTGGACAGCCTATCGGGCCCGTGGGCCATCCTGGGCGACCGGAACCAAGGCCCTCGGAACCTTCCCAAGTCAGGCCGGCCTGATCGACTTGGAGGAGAGTAACTTCTCCCATCTAATTGCACCACGAGGCGCGATAAAGCTGCCGAAGGCTCTCTCATCGATCATGGCATGGCAGGGCGCGCAACGGCTGCCTGGAACTGCTGCTGCCCCCGCCGCCGCCGGACTGCATGGCCGCCAGCTCCCACGCGACCTCTGCCAGGCTCTCCCCAAGCTTGCACATGAGGAAAGCGTTCACGTCAGGTGGGGCGTTCGGTGCTGGTGTTGTTGGTGGTTGTGGTGGTATAGGTAACCCTGGGGGCCCCTCCTGGCGTCCAGTCGAGCGAGGCGCCTCGCCACGACTGTCAGCCCAGAGAGGCTCAGGTACTGCTGGCCTTCCTGCCTGTGCTGGCGTCTGTGGTGATGACCCACGTGTGAAGTGTGTTTTGGGACTGCAGTGGACGGAACAGCAGCCAACGGTCGATCCAGAGTTTCTTCTGCCAGATTGTCCTCATCGTCACCGGGGATCCGAAGAGATGCACAAATCCGCCATCCGATCGATCGCGCGCGCGGGCGAAGGCTAAGGGGAGTGCTTGGAGCGAAGGGCTCACAACCTGAGGTTGGAGGGCCCCCCCCCTGGCCCAGCTTTTTCATGGGAACTTCAGCCCAAGGCCCAAGCAGGGTGGCAGCATGGGGCCTGTCCCCGCAAAAAGCTTGGTGCAACCACGAAGCCACCCCCAATCCTCAAGGGCCCCCCCAAGAGGAGCAGTATGGGAACCACGTCAAAGACTGCAGGGGCGCGCCCGGCCGCCATCGGCAGCCATCTCCCTACGATGTCGTGGTTCTGAGGTCCATTACCAAGGTGATCTGCGTTCCAGTGCAGTTGTTCTCTAGGTTTCAAGGTTTCTGGTTTCTCCCTTCTCCTCCTCCTCCTCCTCCTCGTCCTCCTCCTCCTCCTCCTACCTCGTCCTCGTCCTCGTCCTCGTCCTCGTCCTCGTCCTCGTCCTCGTCCTCCTCCTCCTCCTCCTCCTCCTCCTCCTCCTCCTCCTCCTCCTCCTCCTCCTCCTCCTCCTCCTCCTCCCCTCCTCCTCCCTCCTCCCTCCTCCCTCCTCCCTCCTCCCTCCTCCATCCTCCCCCCTCCCCCTCCCGCCCCTCCCCCCTTCTCTCCCCGCCCTCCCCTCCCAGCCGCAGGCGCGGGCGCGCCTCCCTCCGCTGCTCATCCGTGGCGGCCTGCGGCGCCTCGGCCTGCTCGGTGGCCGCCGCGCCGCCGCCGCCGCGGCGGCTCTTGGCCGGCCGGGTGGCGGCCGCAGCCTGCGGCGAGGGCCCGCCCAAGGCCCTGGGCAGAGGCCCATGGGGTGCGAGGCGGGGATGTGTCCATATGTTTTGCTGCTGAGGATGGAAAAGAAGGGAGCGGACAACACCATTCAACAGCTGGAGAAAAAATGCGGATGCCGCCACACAGCTCAAGCCTGGCTCAAAGACATGTTAATGCGGCCGGTGAGGTTACACTTGAAAACCGTTTACTTCCTCTCACCCAGCGTGCGGATCAGACGCGCACAACGCCGAGGAGGAGGAAGAGGCGTAGGAGGAGGAGGAGGAGGAGGAGGAGGAGGAGGAGGAGGGGAAAGACGACGACGAGGGGGGAGAGTGGGCAGCACGGTTGCCAAAACGGCTGTCCCGCACATCGGTTGCGGGGATATGTCCATATCGACCGCCTGCGGAAGCGACGTCTTAGCACCCCAGCGGACGGTGGGTACGACTATATTGTGGCCCCAGGGGGGGGGGAGGGGAGGGAGGCGAGTTTAGACACATCGCCTGCCAAGGATCCCCCAGTCGGTGGTTATGGATAAAGCCCCGCCTCGGAAGATCTACCACCTGCGGAACCGACGTCTTGGGACCCGAGCGGGCGGTGGATATGGATACATGTTGGCCCTGGGAGGTCCAAGTGTATCCATAATAATCCACTGCCGGCCGAGGTCCCCGAAGATCGATCCCCCAGGCCCGAGCAGGAGCACGGCAGCAGAATGGTGGGGGGCGTCCAAGAGGGGAGCTTCCAAGAGGGGGGCTCGCAGATCATGACCCGAGACACGAACAAGCGGGGGGCATGAGATCGGGTGAGACTTCATGGCCCGCCCGTTCCCGGGCAAAGGCCAGTGGGGCAACAAGAGCGAGCAGGAGCACGGGGGAAAATGGAACGACTCCGGCGCACGCAAAACACGGACTACAGATGCGTGGAAGCTGCGCGTGGGCGCCATATCCACGGATCGCAGAAGGTACCCCTCGAAGCATGAGGCCAGTGCCGCACGATTTGGCGACGGACAGCGCCGACTCTGTACGGCGTCGCTAATCCACGCGCCTTAACCTTTATCCATGTTTGCGCTTCCTCAATGCGGTTCCTGCTCCTCCCTTCCCGTTCCTCCTGGCCTTCCTCCCCCTCCCCCTCCTCCCCTTCCCCGTCACTTTCCTCACCCCGTAGCCATTCGGCTCAAAGGTTCTGGCATGTGTCCCAGGTCATTCCCACGGCACGCACTCCATCACCGCATTGTTCGGAAAGTGTGCCCTCCTGTACGTTCATGGACGTTGCATTGGAGTCTCACGCGGCGGCCGCTGTCTACGGGGTTATCTGCACTGCGCTGGACAAAGGAGTCACGGGCCGCCTGCTCGCGACAGTGGTGTCTGCTGCTGCTGCTGCTGCTGCTGCTGCTGCTGCTGCTGCTGCTGCTGCTGCTGCTGCTGCTGCTGCTGCACGTGGTGCTGCAACTTCTGGGGTAGGCCTACACAGGATTTCGCCCACTACCACGCCAGAGTTCCTCGAATCAGAGGTGTTGGCTATGGCAGGGCCCGGCGCTGGGCACTGGAAAACCACTGTGCCTGAGCTGAAGGGTGCCCTGCGATTTCGCGGCGAACACGATATTACAGCGAGAAGTGGGAAGCTCTCGAGGCTACGCAATTCTGCCAGCCACCCCGACGTCGGGTTGGCCTCTGATGTCACCAGGGCTCTCCAGGTCGAGCCGAAGTTCACCGAGGAGGACCCCAAGCTTCATAAGAAGTGCGAGGTGTCCAAGGAGCTGCCCGTCACGCTGGAGGTCGGAGTGCACACGGAGGCCGTCTGGGTCAGCTTCGACGTGGACGGCGTGCACACTGCGATGGAAGACAACGGGGGCGCAGACTACGTGGTCGTACAGGCGGCGCAGAAGTTCCCAGCGTCCGTCAAAACATCCAGCCCGGTCATCGAGGTCATGTGCACGGTTGGGCGCTATTCCCAGGATCCTGACAACGTCGTTGCCGCGGCCACGACGCAGTTGCTGGAGAAGTCTTACTTCTGGACCACGAGCAAGGGACCGATGCTCTGGATGCGAGCGTTGATGGGGCTGCTCACGACGCCTCGGTCGAGGCTATGCCTTCGGCCGATCCCAGCTTGCAGCTGCCAACTTCGTCCCTTAACATGTTCTTCTCCATGGATGTGGTCAGTATCCGCAAAGCGTTGCGCGAGGAAGAGCCCGATGCCATACGGGGCTTTGATGGCCATGGTGGACAGTGCCCGCCCGGTCTCGGCCGCGAACATCCTCTCTGAAGTGGTCCGCGACCCTGACGCGGTCTGAATTCCCAGCGGGCACATCAAGTGCAGCGCGCACGGCAGACGAAAGATCAAAGCGAAGCTCCATCGGAAATCCACCGACCCTGTCGGCGCGTGGAAGAAGCTCTTCCGTTCGTCGTCGTAGTAGTCGTCGTCGCCGTCGCCGCTACCCCTCGTCGCCGTCGTCGTCGTCGCCGTCGCCGCTCCCCAATTTTCCTTGGCCCTCCTCCTGAGGTGCGCCAGCCAAAGAGAATTGAGCAAAGTCGTACTTGAGTCGAAGGGAAGCCCTTTTGATCCGTTCCCCGCGAGGAGGGGGGGTCCCAGGGTGGGGTCGAGGGGGGTCTCGAGTCAGAATACCATCCCCCCCGGGGGTCCCGAGGTCAAATTACTCCGACGGAAGAACCCCACATAAGAATCCTCTGGGCGAATCTGGAAAAAGCCATCACCGTCGTCCTCGTGGTTGGCGAGGCGTCCTGGCTGTCTCTTCTGCATATATTTCCTCTCGCCTTGGCGCGGGCCCCCCTTCCACTCCTTACGTTGTCCCCATCCTCGCCCCCCTGTTTGTTCCGCGCCCCGCCACCTCCTCCCCTTCCTGTTGCATGAGCGCGCATGTCGATGTTCCTCGGCGCCGTCGCCGCCACGGCCAGCACAGGCGCGTTCTCTACTGGTCACGACGCGCAGCCGTTGGGACAACCCCGCGGGCCAGGCTGTCGGGACAACCCCGCGAGCCGTTGGCGCGCAAGACCAAGCCGTTGGGACAACCCCGCGGGCTTCGAGCGAGGCGCAGCCGCGCTCAGGCGGAAGGCAGCACGAAGCCCAGCTCTGCCGCGAGCTGCTTCGCCTCCGCCCTGGACAAAACCGCTCTCTTGTCGAACTCCAGGAGCGCCTTCCGCAGGGACGCCGGCGGCCCGCACTCCAGGAACTCTCGCGGCGGCGGCCGCAGGATCAGCATGTTCCGCATGCACGTGGCGCGGGAGAACATGACGTAGAGGTGCAGCCACCACTGCTCGTCCGACATGCCCGTGCGGCCAGCGTCCTCGTCTCTCGCGCAGTCGATGGTGACGCCCTTGCGCAGCGTCTGGCCCTGCGACAGCGTGGAGGTCAGGTAGGACGCGTGCGTCAGGGTGAACCCCGAGCGGCGCACGCTGTGCGCCCCCGAGCTCTGCCATGTGAACTCCCTTTCGCTGGGCCTGAACATCAGCAAGCTCCGCGCCCGCGCCTCGGCCTGGCCGTCGTCGTCGGCGCCTTCGGCGCCCTGTCGCAGCACCTCGGCGACCTCCTGGTAGATCGGAGACTCCTTGAAGCCGTGCACCTGCAGCCAGATTCCCTGCGGTAGGAAGCGGGGGCGAAAGAGCTGGCCTGCCGAGCACTCCTCGTAGCGCTGCTCGTCCTCGTGGTGGAACTCGAAGGACACGATGGTGGCCCGCTGCTCCTGCACGAGCCCCAACTTCTTCTTCAGCTCCTCCTGCGCTGCCGTGAACCGCACCTCCATGCCGACGTGGGCCGGCAAAACGCCGTGGATGTCCCCCGTCTTGTGCATGTTCGGGACGTTCAGGAGGCGCCGACCCGCGTCGGGCTCGCCCTGAATCGCGCCGCACTCGTCAACGGCCTGCAGGAAAACAAGGGGCACGCCCAGACGCCGAGCGTCGCGACGAGCGCGCGTGTTGATCCACCTCGCCAGCGTCTCCCAGTATATGCCCATGCCGTAGCCGAGCCGAAAGTTCTCGTGCTGGTGCCGAGGGCCCAGGACGCCCTGGTTGTCCGTGGCCAACGTCTTCTCCCAGGCGGACCAGACCTCAGGTGGGAAGGGCTTGCCCTCGCGCAGCTGATCAGAGGGTCCCCGGGCTCGAAGCGCTTCGTGCCCTTCAGCTCGAAGACGCAGGGGATCTGAGAGAAGACCTTGATGGCGTGCTGGATCTCCACCGTCGGCGGGTCCGCGTACCTGTACGACTCGTCGTCGTCCAGGCGCTCGTTCACGTCCGTCAGGAGGCCAACGCTGCCGGTGGGCTTCAGCTGCAGGAAATCGCCGAGGTGCAACACGATGGGCACGCGCCCGAAGTGGTGGTGTGGCCGCTGGTAGTTCGACTCCTGCACGTCGTGCGTGTCACTGCGTCCGTCGCAGGCGCGAAGGTCCAGCGTGTTGTACAGCGCGGCTGCCACCATGCTTATCTCCTCGATGGCAAGAACGCGGACGTGCTCCCACAACCACTTCAGCCTCTTCTGCATGCCCCCCGGCCGCAGCTTCGCGTTGGTGTACTTCTGAACTCGCATGGCACAGGCATTGTGCAGCGTTCTGGCTTTGACAGTCTCGGCGGAGATGTTCTTCGCCTGCGCGTTCGAGAAAGCCACGACCATCATGCTGGCCCTGTCCGGCGCCGGCGAGGGCCACACGTATTCCACCACTGGGAAGACGATCTTCTGCACGACGTGCGTCTTCCCCGAGCCGCCCTGGCCCAGCAGGAGCAAGTGCGTCACCTTTCTCTCGCTCCAGGGCTTCTTCTGCACGTCGTCCTCCCAGGCCTCGTCGCAGGCCTTGGCGAACTTGGCGACGAAGAGCGTCTGGTCCTGCGTGAGTCTCTGGTCCTCCGGCAATTTAGCGACCAGTTGGGCGATATACGCGCTGGGCGTGGAGCACGCGCTTCGGTCGAAGCTTGCCGCAGAGGGGTCGGTGCCCAGGCCGCCGGCGCTCTCGGCCGCGCCGTCGTCGACGCCCGCGTCATCCTCGTCGCCAGTGCTCTGGAGGCGGTCGTCCTGCAGCTTCGCCCAGGAGTGTCTCTCCTCGCGCGCCGCAGTCACCAGCGGTCGGTACCCGGCCGCGGGCGCAGGAGCGGTCGCTGCGTCCGCTGGCGCGGGCGCGCCCACGTCCTCGCGGGCCGCCTCGGACATGCACGGGAGCGCCAGGAGCTCCTTGGCCAGCTTCGTGAGACGCTTGCGGTGCGCGAAGTTCAGCACGTCCGCCATGTCCTGCTCCCCGTCGATGCCCCACGTCGGGACCGGCTGGTAGTGCAAGTGCTCTCGGACCCCCTTTGGAGGCGCGCCCGGGTGGGTGCTCTACGCCCTCGCCCGCCTCGGCGCCCTCGTCTTCGCCGGCGCCTCCACCGGTGGTCGCCTTGAGGCGCGCGCAGGCACGTGCCAGTGGATACGTGCCAGGGGCACGACCCAGAGGAAGCGCACAAGGGTGCGCCCCAGTGGATACGTGCGGGGGCACGACCCAGAGGAAGCGCACAGGGGTGCGCCCCAGTGGATGCGTGCCGGGAATAGCGTTCTGGAAACACGACGAACACGAAGTGGCCTACAGTTGGCTCCTCGCAATTCACTCAGAGACGAGGCTCCCGCCTGAGACTTCCTCCAAATTCAAGCCTGAGGAGCCCAAAAACTTCCTTGTTGCGTCCAAAATGTGGCCTGGGAGCTGCGTTCTGGCCAAAGGGGACCGAACTAGAACCAACCGGCGCGACCGGCGCGACCGGCGCGACCGGCACCGGCGCGACCAGCGCGATTGCGACCGGCGCGACCGGCGCGACCGGCGCAACCGGCGCGACCGGCACCGGCGCGACCGGCGCGACCGGCGCGACCGGCACCGGCGACCGGCGCGACCGGCGCGACCGGCGCGACCGGCGCACCCGGCGCGACCGGCGCGACCGGCGCGACCGGCACAACCGGCTCGACCGGCGCGACCGGCACCGGCGCGACCGGCGCGACCGGCACGATCAGCACGACCGGCGCGACCGGCGCGACCGGCGCGCCCGGCGCGCCCGGTTGGGGGCCTCCGGGGGGCCTCTTGGGGCCATCTTGGGGCCTCTTGGTGCCTCCTGGGCGCTTCGGGGGGCCATCTTGGAGGGCATGGATCCAAGAAGAGGGGAGCTTTAATGAGCGCTGCTCCCTCGGAAGGGCAAAATGAGCCCAAAACCTTAGTAAAATCAATAATATTGCCTTGACGGGAGGGGGGAGCTTGCATGAGCGCTGCCCCCTCAGAAGGGCCAAATGGAGCCAAAACCGTAGTAAAATCAATGTTTTTGGCTTCAAGGAAGAGGAGGGTACCTTATCTCCGTCCCCCCGTCGGGGCCAGAATCCTCGTGAGGGGTGTCGTTTTTTAGCCCTCCGAGGAGTCGAAAAAGACCCCCCCGGCGACCCGCGGAACACCCCCTCCAGGCCCAGGGGGAGGGGGTAGGGGGAGGGGTAAACCCCTCCCCGAAGGGGAAGAAGGGGGGTTGAGGACAGAGAGAGCTCGCTGAACCACTCACGCCCAAAGGGCTGGTGGGATTTGAGGATGTCTCGAGCGAAACGCTTGTTTTTCAGAATTTGTTGAGGATGTCTCGAGCGAAACGCTTGTTTTGTGTTATAGATTGTCCTCTCCTGGGGGCCTGAATTCTGAGGATCTCTCAAGTGGATTCGTGCCCTGGTCTTGAGGATGCCTCGAGCGAGACGCTTGGTTTCACGCCTCCAGGTGGCCCAGACAGATGTCTAGCATGAGGATTTGTTGAGGATGTCTCGAACCAGAGGCTTGTTTTCACGTGTCCAGGTCGCCCAGGCGGATGTCTAACATGAGCATTTGTTGAGGATGTCTCGAGCGAGACGCTTTGTTTGCACGTGTCCAGGTTGCCCAAGCGGATGTCTAGCATGAGGATGTGCTGACAACGTCTTGAGCGAAACGCGTGTTTTCACGTGTCCAGGTCGCCCAGGCACAGCACAGCCCTCGGCACGGTACATCAATATCGATACCTTTAGCATTGCAGCCTGGCATGTTGCTTGGCACGTTCCGCGGAGCGTCCCGTGGCGAGTCCCCCTGGCACGTCGCGCGGTGCACGTCCATTGGCACGTTCCGTAGCGCGTCCCCTTGGCACGTCCCGCGGTGCGTGCCCATGGCACGTCCCCTGGCACGTCGCCTGGCGCGTCCCTTGGGACGTTCCGCGGCGCGTCCTCTTGGCATGTTCCCTCTGTCGATTAGTTCTGGGGCAGCTACCATCTGCTCAGGCAGCTCGAGCTTACGATCCAGATCAGTTCGGTGAGGACTCGGATGCCAGGGAG